TCGGAGTCATAAAACATCCCTGGAGCAATTACTTTCTGTGGTTGGTTGTGATGTTGCAGCAAGCTGGGTTTTACTCAGCCCACGTAACCGGCAATTGTTCCGTCTGAGCATCTCACGCATCGTAGGGGTTTGTACCACCTGTTGAGTGAGTGAAAACAGCTTTATAATGGTCTAGTGCAGACGCTGAGGTTGTCACGCGTCACCCGGCTTACTCTCACGTGGGCACCGGCAGGTCTAGCCTGACGGCCCTGTCGGGAGCACACTGCACGGCCAGGATTTGGTCCTGAAGTTCTGGGCTGCACAGAAGCGCGTCCCAGTCGGGTTTGCTATAAGTAGGACCAAGCGACCCGCATTCCTAGAGCATGTGTGCTAATGTAGTGGTCTGCCTGCAAGCGGCGCATGCGACATCGGGTAATTTGTGAGGATAAATTGCATTTAGGTATGCCAACTACGGTTACGAATGGGTTTGAAGTAAGCGCCACGAGACGGCCTGTGCTCTATTGAGTTTTGAATGTGGCATTGGGAATGCCCGCCTCGCCATGTAGTAGTACTTGGTAATCTCGTTGTGTGTAGTAGGTGTGTCTTTATGTCCCGCGTAATCAGCACTAGAGCCGTCACCCAGGTCGAGAGCAGCGTGGTCAGTGAGTGCGTGCTGTTGTGTGGGCCAACTCGTCCAGGTTTAGTGCAACGCCGTTTACGGAGTCGACATGCGTGGGCAACCAATATATGGTGTGAGGGACAATCGTATTGGTGGTGGAGCTGTTCGATATCCTGGCGGCCTCTGTTGATATACAGCCCTTTTGAAAGGCCCTGACTGTGTATTTGGAGTCACTGTACTCCTCTTCACACTGACCATTTAGCAGACCGAGTGCGGTGCCCACTTGTTTGGCCACCTGGGGGTTCGTTGTGCGTACCGTGGCGCAGTTCGTAGTCGAGTCCGTCTGGTCCACGACCACCGCTGCGAACTTCTTGCCGTCTCGATATGCTGCGGCGTCAACTAAACTTGCATTTACGCCACCCTTTCCTAGTTGATTCAGTAGAGCCGTCACCCTTGCCTGACGACGTCCCTCATTGTGTACAGGGTGAGTGTTGCGGTGTATTGGGGCAACAATGACGCTTTCCTGTATATGTTTTGATATACGCCCACTATTTGTTTCCAGCTCCATAGGGTTAAAACGTATACCTCACCAAGTATGCGCCGACCAGCCATCGTAGTGGATAACCGAGCCAGCTGCGAGTGTGGCTGCGCTTCCGCTATCTCAGCTGCAGAGTTGTGTAAAGATGTATATCGTGTAAATGTGTATATCGCTTTCTTCAACGGGTTTCCATCCCTTAGGGCGGCCATCCCGTTCTTTTCTATAGAGCAGGAGCTCCGACTTGGCGAGTGAGCATATGAGTCCCGTTTGGCGCAGGTACGATTCCACCTCGGCGAGTCTTTCTTGAAGGGCATCTTGCACCCGGACTTCGTTGCCGCAAACGCACCAGATTGTGATGTCGTTGGAGTAGATGGTATGCTTGATGCCGTCCACGCTAGCCAGTCTTTACAACAGTCCGATCATGCAGAGATTCAACAGCACCGGAGAAATCACAGACTCCTGGGGCGTGCCTCGACGTCCGAGTGGTACGTCTTCACAGAAGAGATACCTGATGCGCAGCCTCGCTTTTCTTCCAGACAAGAAGGACTTGATGTAGTTGTACAGCCTGGGCCCAAGCTCGAGTTTTGCTACAATCTCCAAGATGAATTCGTGCTTGATGTTGTCAAAGGCCTTCTCTAGGTCTAGGCCAACAAGAGCCTTTGTATCTCTAGAGTATCCATCAAGTCTTGGTACTTAATGAGCAGCATTGTATCCTGCGTAGAAAGGCCGGTACGAAACCCGATCATATTGTGCGTATAAATCTCATTTCCCTCCAGGTAGTCGTTGAGTCTGTTGAAAATCACGTGCTCTGCCACCTTACCCACGCACGACGGGAGGGAGATGGGGCGAAGATTCTCAACGCTAGGAGAATTTCTTGGCTTGGAAGTCAGTATGATTCAAGCTAGCTTTCATTCCTAAGGAACCATTCCCGCTTTCCATGCTTCATTGATGAAACCAGTTAGACGTTCTATGGATGCGTCGTCGAGGTTTCCGATGGCTCTGTTCGTGATCCTGTCTGACCCTGGTTCCGACTTGCGATTGAGCATTTGTATCACTCTCCTGATTTTAGACTTTGAAAATTCTTCGTCTAGTTCAGGTAAAGGGGGGCCACCATACTCTGGAATCACGCCGTCTTCATCCTCTCGTTCGATCGGCAAGTACTTGGAAACTAATCGGGTAACTAGTTCGTCAACCCCTGTTCTTTGGAGGCTTCGGGAAGGGCATGGGCCAAAGTGTGTCTCTGGTTGGCCCTAGTGCCGTGCTCGTCCAGGAGGTGCTTCAGAAGGTGCCAGGACTTGCCATTTCTGATTTGAGCACGTGTCAACCAGTTCCGTGTCTCGCACAAAACCACCAAAATGCTTGCACGAGCTTCCTTGTTATCACAGGCCCTTGAGAGAAAATTTTGATCTTGTAATGTGTGATGCCAATTACCACCATGTCGCAAGCCATAAATCATAGCTGTTGTTTTCGTGCCAAACTGCTGACAAATTAAAAAAAATGTATGCTGAATGTCCTCGATATCACCACAGGAGGCGCGCTTAGCGGGGAAACACATCACCTAGTCCTGAATGGCCATGCCGGGGCGTCTATGCGGTGTTGGTTGTCCGCGAATCCCAAGTGCTTCATGTATATTCTTGTGGATCACTTTGAAATTATTGCGAATTACTTGTATATTGTTCTAATATATCTTGAAAGGTCTCACCTTTAAGTTGCATAGCCCCGTTTTGCGTGTAAGAGGATCAGCATTTTCACCATGAAGAGGCCTGAACGGAGCCGCCTCAACTCGACACGGTCCCCTATAGACCTTTCCTGTAACGTCAGTGCAGCGATGTTACCAGAGCAACACATCATCCCAGCTGCGGAAGCAAAGTTTGTTATGCTGAACTGCTTAGCTGGCTGCTTGTGAACACCAGCTACTATGATCATTTACAAGCGCACAAAAACCGACCACTGTGCCCGCACAGCAACACCCACGCTGCGTATTTCCACGTACCCTGACTGGGGACCTCGTTGTCGGGCCGCCTGACTCGTGCCATTTTTTTCCCACAATATAAAGAGCCAATTTCAGCTCCGCTTGGTGCAAAATTGCGATACTCTTCTTCACGAGAAGTAAAGTTGCTTACAGACTGAAATTTGGCGTTACGACTGCATCGTGACCTATCTTAAAAAGCTCATAAGGCTATCCCGGACGCCCAATGAAAATCTGTTCGCAAGCGCTTTGATGCAAGGTGCTAGATGATTACATCTCTAGAATAAAACAAAACAATTAGAAAACTGTAAGAATCAATAAAGAGCTGTGACTGAAGTTATAACAAACTATTATTGTTTTACACAATCGAAATCTTCTCTTGTTTTTAAATGCGTGGTACCGTACACGTCAGAATATCGCAATAACAGCTTCTGCAACCTGCAATTTGTGTGAAAGCAGCTGGATCGATCGTCAGTAAAAAATACGGAAATCGTTACTCAAGCTCAGTTAACCAGATTTTTGGGTTTCTCATAGGCGCAACCTACTGGCACTGTTATCTCCAAAATGACGCACCGTAAGTCGCAAGCCAGGTGAAGTAAAAGGAAATGACGTATTGTGAGAAATAAAGAAAATTTTAGACAAATGCGCGAATACACCAATACGAATGCATTTGCTTGTTTCGGTTGCAAAGGCTAGCGGCATATGCGCGTAAACCTGCTGAGCTAAATATTTTCCAAAATAATCTTGCAATATGACATTCATGATACGCAGTCACGACTGATAATTATCAGCACCAACATCACTTTCCTTCGCATACTTTAAATCTGTTTCTGGACGAAAGCCTCTGTGTCCTGGAGGTGGGTCTAAAAACCCAGTTACATTGTATTACGGTTGGTCAAAAACTACTCCTGCTGCTGCTCGAAACACAGCTGTCGTCTACATGTTCCGGCTGGTGTACACCATCTCAGTTTTTTCGTTTCGTATTTGCGTTCTTTCCTATTTTTTTCTTTCGTTCCGTCTATTCCTGTTATTTTCAAACATTTATTACGCACGTTTTTTTACTACACTGGATTTTATATTTCTTTGTATAGCCTTGAACAATGAATTTTAAAGTTTTCAGTGTATTTTACCGGCCTAACATTATTTCATATATTCTTTCAACTTTTTCTCTTTTATCACTTTCTACCAACTTAAAACGAAATTGCGTTCCAATTTTCTACAGAAAATCCCGCTTTCACTTTTTATACTATCGTACCCTCTTTTTCGTACAGGTATATTGTGGCTGGTGCATATGTAGTCAATATAGTGAAATGGAAAATAAAAATAGACACTTCTAGGGACGGAAACTACAACTCTGCAACTCTTTTTTACGTTATGCTTCAGCAAAAAATACAGGCAGACAATCTCGAGGCAGCATTGTGAAATAAGCAGGTACCTCAGTGATTTATTAAAAAAAGTAGGTAAATGCCTGTAGAAATTAAATATTAATATCAAGATATGTTTATGTACGCGTACATGTACAAACCAACCTTTCAAGCCTGATTAACTGAGGGAAAAACAAGAAGATGAAATGTTTCCACGCACGTTTTAAAAAAAAGTACCTAATTCTTCCATCAATTCTTAAATGCACTACGTTTTCCACGAGAAAGGTACTTAACGGACAATATTATTAACTGTACTAAGCGCTTTACTAAATATTTACTCAAATGATAGTATTTGGCGCAAGCAATGCCATCTATGTGAGTGAACTTCTATTGAGTAGGCATTGTTTTAGTTTTACCTTTCGCTCATGCATTTGCCGACGTAAATGTAGCTTCTATAAAAGTTCGCCATACGCGTCAATGAACGTGACGTGTATGATTTTCTTTTTTGTATATATAGAGTATCCTCGACTGTCTATGAAGTTTTCGATGCTACATCGACAGAGTCATGCGCAACATGTTTTCTTACGCGTCACTTCTTTTCGTACTTGTCACAGTCACGGCAAAACCTGATCCTAATGAATATGCAGAAGACCCCAAACATTTTCGTGACCAGATCCTTTCAAAGGTAAGTGTCGTCGGTGTATAATATATAAGCCTCAATAACAAAAAAGCACCAAATATTTTTAAAATTATGCTAGTTTCCAAAGAAAAGCAGCACAGGGACATAGTGAAAAGGAAAGTCTCATATCAAGCTTTACTTTACTCGCAAAATCTAATAAAAGTTCAACAAAGCAGTGAACATCTCGGCTTAAGTAATGCCACTCTGTAGCCCAACCATTTTTTATTACTGCAGTGCAACACAACTTCACAGAGTATGTATGTATTGTTTGTATGCTAGCTTCAATGAAAATATACGTACGATGAATTATCGGATCACTCCAGAACTGCTTTGTTCAATTTGCGGACGTTTTACTTTCAGCACACTTCTCATATATTTCACACTAAAAAACTTTAATTGTGATTGTTTTTGTAATAATTATACTATGAAAGTGCTCTGTTCATTTATTATTTTGTGTTTTATGATGTATCAGTTTTGTACATAAAGCGTGACTAATAATTTGGACTAGCATATTCTACGACTGTTATGGATGAGCTAGAACTTATCCCGATGAACTGTTTTGAAATAAACGTAATCACAACGCACGAAGTTATCACACTCCGCAAAAAAAAAAAAACTAAGGATTTGACTTTCTGAGTTAATAATGGCTTTCTCGAAATACACAAGGTAGCCCATGTAGGTAGCAAGACTGGTAATGTAGAGTGTAATGAAGCGGGGTCACTCTTGTTGGATACAGTGCACCTAATTGGTGTTTTTACAACTTCGTTTGGCGACAAAATTATCTGACTGGCTGAGTGGATTTCTGCTTCTTTTCAATGTTTATTATGATATATGTAGGTTTCTCTCATCACTTACAAGTTCTTATAGCGCCTCAGCTCATGTGCGTGGATGGTTTTCCCCGTCAGGATGCTGGTACATGTCGAGGCTACCTAGTACTGCAGCGCGTGGTGCGCTTCTAAATGAGTGAAAAAATTGCTGGCATGTTGGACAGCACATTGCTACACACTGTATGCTGACGTTGTGCGCAAGTTTACAATGCTGATTCAAGTTCAGTTTTCTTGTATGAACTTCACACACAAAATGTACATTTGCTGAAGAAGTTTTTTCAATGAGCCTTACGAAGAAGAAAAGGCACAACTCAGTGGACGTCTTAATTATATATATATATATATATATATATATATATATAATATATATATATATATATATATATATATATATATCGTTATGAGACAACGTCTCACGAAAGTGGTTAGATAGGCATGGAGAAAGACGACGTGATTTTGGGGTAGGGCACAGCTTTTGTTCTCCATCTTAGCTTGTGCGGTGGCGCTGTGTAAATACACGCCTACTTTCACGTGTACCTTCACGTAACATTTTGGTGGAAGGTGCTGGGTTACAACGCACGACGGAGTTACGTAGCGGACGCCTAGTCGCTGCTTCCGACATGTCCACTGGCAGCAACGCTTCGTCAACTGCACGCCCAATGCATCAATGGCACCGACCTCCCCTGTTTTTATCGTGGCCGCTTCACCCCAAGATCCCGGCAACTTTTCGGGAATGGAAGGCGAGGACGTAGATGAGTGGCTTAAACTCTACGAGCTCGTCAGCGAAAACCGCAGGTGGGACCCAACCTTGATGCTGGCAAACGTCATCGTTTATTTGCCAGGAACGGCCAAGGCATGGTTTAAGAACAACGTGGACCCGATCACGAGCTGGGACATATGCAGGACCAAGTTACGCGAGTTGTTTGGTCAATCTGCCGGCTGCAAGCAGGCTGCTAGGAAGAACTTGGCACACGTGTTCAGACGTCCACGGAGTCATACCTGGCGTATACACAAGATGTGCTTACCCTTTGCCGTAAAATTGACCGAACCATGGCTGAAGCAGACAAGGTAGCGCACGTGCTCAAGGGCATCGCAGACGATGCGTTTAACCTCCTTGTGTGCAAAGGCTGTTCCACCATGCAAGATGTTATCTTGGAGTGCCAACGCTTTCAAAAGGCTAAAAGACGCCGCATTGCCCACTCCTTTACGCGCCTTCCCAGCACTGCTGTGACGTGAATTTTCGAGGATCTTCGTATAGCGATCCAGCCCAATTCACACTCCGGTGACATCACGAAAATCGTACGCCGCGAAATCGAGGCCATGTCACCCGCACTCTTGAGAGCACTAGCACCGAGTGATCCTCATCCGACCATATCGCTAATACAGACCGTTGTTCGCCAAGAACTAGCCAACGCGGGTATTCACACGGGCGGTTCTGTGCACCGTCCCGACGCTGTCAGTTCATCTACCTCCGGCACCCACAGCATTATCGCCGCCCCATTCCACGTAACCGTGACCCAAATGCGTGGAGGATGCCTGACGACAGGCCGATTTGCTTTCGATGTGAACGAGTGGGACACATTTCCCGCCATTGACGGAGCACGTGGACCTCACCGTATCGGGCAAACTCAAGCTTCTCCAACCTCCACTCACCAGCCCATCTCTATGGCCAGGAACAACCACGGCCTGATGGACCCCACCACTACGACCACTGCCCAGTGCAGTCACTCACCGTCACCTCGACGTAGATTTTCCCGGTCTCCGCCGCTACCCCGTTCCCCGTCCCCATCCTCTGCCCGGCGGTTTTCTTCGGAAAACTAATGGCTGCAGCTCCTGTAGGTGACGCTGCTGATACGACTTGCTCTCCAATTCCTCTGTTGACGCTGCCGACCAATCAGAACCTGATCGACGTAGCAGTGGACGGTTTATCTGTTAAAGCATTGGTGCACACTGGCTCCCATATTTCTGTGATGAGCTTGCACATTCGTGACCGCCTAAAGAAAGTCCTTACTCCAACCCCTTCACACCGTGTTCGTGTTGCTTATGGTGGTACGGCTTCTGTTATTGGCGCTTGTACTGCACGCGTCACTATCGCCGGCCGTCAAACGTCATTTCTCTTCACTGTTCTCTCACTGCACCAATGATGTGATCCTCGGTCTTGACTTTTTGTCCACTCATTCCGCCCTCATCGAATGTTCAGCTGGTACTGTGCAACTTGACCTACCGTGTCCGATTGATTCACCCAGTCCACCCAAATCTCGTATGTGCTCTGCTGAGCTTGTCCGTTTGTCACTGCAAACTGTGACCTGCATCACCGTAATGCCCTCACCACCTCTATCCGAGGCGACTATGTGCTCACGCCCATTACTTGCATTCTTTTGACTCACAGTGTTACCTTACCACACACTGTTATTCAGTTACGCGCAAAGCACGCCTTCATTCCTGTGCTCAACTTTCATCTGTGTCCACAAGTGCTCCCGCGTGGAATTGCCCTTGCCATGCTGACTCCCTCTGACGAATGCGTCGTCTCAGCTCTGTCTTCTAACAATGCTGGACACTGTAGCTACACGCATGCTTGATCTTCGCAAGTAAGCCCGTCTGCTGACGTTAAAAAAATGATCGCGTCAGGCCTTGCCGCATCAAGCTGACGCACTCCTTCACGTTCTTGAGTCATACAGAGACGTATTTGACCTTTGTGATCGCCCGCTAGGTCAAACCACTGCTTTAAAGCACCCCATTGACACCGGCGATGCCTCCCCTGTCCATCAACGGCCATACCGCGTATCTCCAACCGAGCATCACATAATTCAAGCAGAAGTCGACAAAATGCTCGCCAGAGACATAATTGAGCCATAATGTAGTCCATGCGCTTCCCCTGTAGTTCTTGTCAAAAAGAAGGACAACACTTGGAGATTCTGTGTAGAATACCGACATCTGAACAAGATTACTAAAAAAGACGTCTACCCGCTACCGCGCCTAGACGACGTCCTGAATTGTCTTCACAGCGCTAAGTATTTTTCGTCCATTGATCTAAGATCAGGGTACTGGCAAATTGCTGTCGACGACATGGACCGCAAAAAGACCGCTTTTGTCACGCCCGATGGTCTTTACCAGTTTAAGGTCATGCCTTTCGGGTTATGCAACGCTCCGGCCACCTTCGAGCGGATTATAGACTCTCTTTTGCGTGGGTTCAAATGATAAATTTGTCTATGTTACCTTGACGACGTTATTGTCTTTTCTCCGACCTTTGAGACCCACCTCGACCACCTATCCTCAATACTGGCTGTTTTTCGCAATGCCGGTCTCCAACTGAGCTCGTCAAAGTTCCACTTCGGACGCCAGCAACTAACCATGTTGGGCCACCTTGTCGACTCCTCTGGTGTACGCCCTGATCCCGATAAAGTGCGAGCCATGTGGAACTTCCCCATTCCGACCTGCACCAAGGAAGTCCGCAGGTTTCTCAGTTTTTGCTCGTACTTTCGACGTTTTGTGAACAGCTATGAGGAAGTAGCCCGTCCTCTCACAAACTTACTGAGAAAAGATGTCTCATTCACATGGGGTGCTGTGCAGGCTACGGCGTTCTCTGTACTTATTGCATTGCTAACAGAACCACCTGTTCTGGCCCATTTTCACAATACCGCTCCTACAGAAGTCCGCACCTATGGCAGTGGCGACGTAATTGGTGCTGTTTTGGTCCAGCATCAAAGTGGCTGCGCCCGCGTTATCGCCTATGCCAGCTGTCTCCTCTCGCAGGCGGAAAGCAACTACTCAATCACCGAAAGGTAATGCCTTGCTCTCGTTTGGGCAGTAGCGAAATTTCGGCCATATTTACACGGTCGACATTTCACCGTCACAACCGATCACCACGCACTTTGCTGGCTCGCATCTTTGAAGGACTCCACTGGGCGCCTTGGTCGATGGGCATTACGACTCCAAGAGTATAACTACTCAGTGTCCTACAGATCTGGTCGCTTACACCATGACGCTGACTGCTTATCTTGGCATCCAGTGGACCCACCTGAGGCGTTCAATAAAGCACCATGTGTCCTGTCTCTCTCTGCTTTAAGCAACATCCGTGAGGAACAGCGCCGACATCCTCTCTTGCGTAACATCATCGAGAAGCTTCATTCTGCGGCACCTGACCCGTCTACTGAATTGTTCGTGCTCAAGGATGGCAAA